TGTTTAGAATCCTCTTTGCAGATATTTAATGACTCGATGGACAAGGAAAAACAATCTTCAAAATGAACTGATTTTAACTAGAGATAGTGAAGTGGATTTATAAAATAAAACCACAGCAGAAAGCTACCTGTCTCCCTTGTAACGTTTCACCTACTAGCCTTCATCCAGTTTGCTGCTTCACGCCGGGCTAAGCTATCATTGAAGTATTTCCCTCCTTTCAGTCCTCCCTTTCTTTTTTTTTCCTCCTTATTGTTTATACAGGACTCACGCTACCTTCTGAATTTATTTCCCCTCGCTGGACAAGCAGTACCCATGAAACAAAAACTCTTCTTTTTTTCTTTCCTTTTTTAAAAAAAAAAAAACAAGTTTCTTGGAACTTCCTCTTCTTCAGCTCTCTCAAAAGTCCACCAGCACATATGAGACGTAGAATAAAAGAAAGATGCTGTCAGTGGTGATGCACACTGGGATCCACCAGCAAAGAACTAGATATAAAAGCATTCAATTGTGGAGATTATGTGGCCACTGCTAAAATAATGTCCTCTAATGCATAAAAATAAATTACTTTTAAATGTGTTTCCATGGCAAAAGCAGCCACCTAGCACGCAGGTCAGTACTTGGAAATGCTGTCAAGGAATGGAGGCTGACTAGTTAATAGAAGTCAGACACCATTCCCCTGCCCATATTACAGCTCAGTAGGCTTTGAAGAAAGCGTGCTGGAGATGTCATTTTCCACTCTTTCATAAGCATTCACTTCAAGATGCTTCACTCCAGGCTAGCAAGGGGTGCCCTACATCACTATAGTGCCACTTACAGAATTTATGACATAGGATCATGGTTACAACTTCATACACTGCAGGCATTTTTGCAAAATATGGTCACGTGTGTGCATATTCACCATAACATATATTCCTAAGAATGCTTAATTAGCACTATTCTACAGACAAAAAGTTCAGGCATTATACCTCACATTTCTCACACTTACTTTTAAAACAGAAGAGTATTTTTTTACATGTGGAAAGGGGCTTTATGTTTTTGTTTTTCCAAGAGTGTTCATACGTAAAGAGCAGAGTGTTTTGTAGAAGGAAAGCACCTGTTTAAAATATTTCATATTCCTCCTTGCACTGCAATAATTTAATAATAACTGCCTCAGTTAATAAAAACAAACAACAAAGAAAGCCAACAAAAAGAACCTATGCTGTTTTTAAAGACTGAGTTTGGTGTGTATATATTCCAGACAGAAACAATGCCATAGAAAAGAGTGAATCAATGCCTGTCTCCCTAAGTCTTGGAATGAAGACCGCACACACCCCTTTCCGGAAGTCATGCTGTGATGAAACTAACCTCTGCAGAAGGGCAGCCATTCCATGGCATATTTTCCACTAGAGGTCAGGCTGAAGGAGCTAATGATCTATTTTAGCCTTCAAAATCCATGAGTGGGATTTACTAATCAAGGTTTGGAAGTTTGAAAATCAGTGTTTAATTAATACCGCTTTGCTTCACTTAAAGTGAATCACAGAGATGTATTTTCATAAGCGTCCAACAGCTGGAGGGATTTAATCACGAGAGTATTTTAACAGACGTCAATACAACCTGTCACAGAGCAGAGCCCTTGAAACCATGTTAGTGTGAATAATAACAGACAACATTCTAGTTACTTTTAAAATGGTATTTTTAAAGTATTGCACTTTTTTTGCATTTAGAAAGGACATATATTACAAGAATTTTCCACCAAAAATCTAGATTGAATTTGTTTCTGTAGATACCTAGGAAGTGATATAGCTAAGCATGGGGTATATGACCATAACAGGCTTCAGACGACTAGAAAATTTTTCAAAATCCCAAAGTGATTTGAACTCGGAGCCTAAGCTTTTCTTTTCCTATATTTTGGTGGCTTATGCAATTCCCCCACTTTCAGAAGCATTGACCCACCTTCTTGAAATAAATACCTTGAAGGCAGTGAAGTTCAGATATACACTTGCTTCTGAAAATTCAGGGAAACTTTTAATGTATCATACATAGTTCTAAACACCTGCTTTGTTGTGACAGGACATAAAGTCGCTTTCAAATGGCAAGTCCTAGCTCAGAGCTCTTTGTCAGCCACCAGCCCTCTCAGCACCTCACTGCCTTCAGCACGTCCATCTGCAGCCATGAAAACCAAGACAAAGTCATTTTGGCCACAGCCACATAAGCATTTATATATAGACTCGAAAACTAAACTGAGGAACTGCTCACGTTTACACTCTTAAAGCAGCACATGAAAGTCACTGAGATGAAACCAGCTGACTAAGTCAAGCTATGTCAGCTAGGATTTTGAAGTACCGCATGGTCAACCATTAGAGCCACTTCAAAGATACATAAAGTACTTTGGAGAAGTAAGAATATAAAATGCCAGGAATAACTGGCAGAGAGAAGAAAACTTGTCGTTTCTCCGGTCACCTAAGATGGGTAGGTGGGAATAACAGCCATAAGGAACAGAAATGAAGCCTAGAAGACATTGGTTTGGACTCTTTTTGTGTGGAACAGCCTTTTCTGTACCTTCACCAGGTCAAACGCAGCATACCTGCTGATAACAGCCAGTCATTTCATCAGTTACAGGTTATTTTGTTTAATGATCTTGTAATGGTACCTTATCGTAGCAGTCCAAATTCCACATGCACACGTTTTAAAAGGTGAAAATTCAGTTTAGCTCAGTAACACATTCAACTAATACACACTTTTTCCTTTACCAGTTCTTCTGTAAATAAGCTAACCTTTTAAAATTTACAGCTGTACAACAGGCACAGCACACCTCTCTCAGGCATGGCCTGGAGAAAGGCAAGAGCCCTTTGAGAAGGATGACTGCGACACTTCCACGGAGCTGGCAGTCGGGAGTTTGACTGAAGCTGGTAAGGCAGATTTCCCAGATTGAGCACGTACCCCACCAAGCTGCACAGATGGTATTTGTGGGAGCAAAGGAAAATAAGATATAGGTTTAAAATAAACACAAGAGAAACACAGAATAATATTGAATCACTCTAGGTATTTCTACAGGTTTCCGTTTGTCTTTTCTACTTCTCAGCACACAGCGAGTGTATGTTCAGGGCTTTGAAACCACCGAGCAAATGGAAGGGATTTAAAACTAGTTTTGTTTCAACTGTAAGATCACAGAAGTAAAGACAGGCTCCAGGTATTTCTCTTCAGAACGAGATTTCTGTACAGACGCTTGATGCAAAGAGAGTTTAAAATGCTGTTCCTGGGTAGGTCTAGCCAATGACAAGTAGGCTTGTCAGAACAGCCTTTTCGACGCTGAAGGAAAGGACTCGCTCTGCTGCTGAATTTCAAACAGGTCCCTCTGCATGGCGGCTACTTTCCCATTGTTTTAAACGGACAGAAAGACACCGCTGGAAACAGGCAAGCTACAAAGAAGGGAGGCAAATACAGCTTCAGATGCTGCTGTTATAAGGAGGCAAAGTAGCCACAGAGAGGCCAATCTGAGCTGGCAGGCTGACCCTGACAGCAGCTGGTTTGAGCCCCAGCTCAAGGCCGCAGTCTGGCCCCTTCCCCCTCCATCACTAGTCCTTCCCAAGCTGGGCCAATCTTACCTTGTTACAATGATACTGTCCAAGTTAGCTGGTCTCAAGATCCCATCAAAAGCTAGCAGAGAAAGAAGGAATAGGAGGAAAACAGCACAGGTAGGAAGTGGTGGAGAAAGACATGATGAGAAGAAACACGAAAGCTCACATTTCCCACCGGAGTCCCTGGTAACCCAGAGGTGCTGACATGCGCTTGCTCTGCCACCTCAGGAAGTGAAGCTCCATAATGTGGTACTTCTAATCCTCCTCTCTTAAGCGTCCTCCTTCTGAAGGATCCAACTCTTCATTATTTCACTCGTTAGCTAGATTTAATTTCTGGTGAATCAAAGTTAACTTCCTGATTTCAAGTCCCACTCTTCTCTCGTTTAGTTGATGTGACTTTAACACCATCCTTGAATTGCAATAAAAATCTCCCTTCTTTGGAATAAAGCAGTCTGTCTGTACCTGTCCTGACTCCTCCTGCTACCTTTTTCAGTTACAAATGTAACGCTGCATGGACTTCCACTGGTTCATCTCACAGCTCCGGGTAGACAGGTAGGCCCTGCCGTGATCTGCCTCGCAGGACTACACCCACTTCTCCCACGCAAAGAGAAGAGAAAAGCAAACCCTTTGGCAAACAGGGGCAGCACAGAGAACTCTCCAGCTCCTCGACGGGCTGTCCCTTAGCAGCGCAGCTTCTGGGGTAGGAAAGTAAACCAAACATACTGCACTCTGACTTCTGTCATTTAAAACTTACCAATGACCAGCACACTGGATACAAAGACTCTTCTGGTGGTTTTTTTTTTCCCTTGGAATCTTGTGCTATTATTTAAGGCACAGCTACAAAAACAAATGAATGAAACAAAAAAGACCAGGAAGAGTCTTTAAAGAAAATACTTCAAACTAACACATCACATAAAGATACAAGCAAAGAGCAAAATTTTCCATCAGCAACATATTTATGACAGTATGACATGCAAACTAATTATATATTCACATCTGAATTACTTGATATATACACGCACGTGTCACTCATTTTATGCTGAATTTATTAAAAAATAAAATAAACTCTTCTACGAAGAGTCTACACTTTATTCAGTCATAAAACCTATGTTTGGAGCAACTTCGACAAAAAGAATTACTTCGAATTTTCACCAGTGTCTTTAAACAGAGTCTAGCCCAAATACTTTTCAATCTACTCAACTGAGAGAAATAGAGCTGCAACGGTGTGGGTTTTTTAATCCCAAAGCGGATTATACAAACAACAATTTCATCAAAGATTTCTTACAACAAGCCTAGCGTTACTGGTTATATCTTATTATTAAGGTAAGCATTCTTCAAAGAACTGTATGATTGGAATCTCTTCCAGATACATAGTGACATGCTATTTGCTGGCTGCAGTGAGAAGAGTCAAAATGAAAACAAAAATACAAACACGCTTTATTTTCCTCTTGTCTTTATTGATTTAGACTTCAGAGCTACAGCCAAAAATAGTGCATCTGTAGAAAATTACCACACATGCTATCAATACAGCATCATCACATGTTTAGAATTGTAAGCACTTGACAGAGCACAAAGGGAACATTCAATCTAACATCTTGGCAATGCAGCCCATGAACAGGAAAAACAGGGAGAAGGGTATTTTATTCCTCCAAAAAGAAATACTTCTGAACAGGAATGAAAAGCCTGTACTAAAACACGAATTCCAGTCACCATGGAAAACTCATGCTGGCTCATTCAAGGCACCAACACACACTGCGGGGAAAGTCTGCGTGGAATGTCGAATGGTACACAGAAACGACGACTCTGCTACAGGTACGCCACCTTCAGCACTTTGTACGCCATTGAGATGGTCACTGCGTACCCAACCGCCCAAGACAAACCTCTGCCGGGCTGGGGAAGAGGGATCAGGTATGCTAAAGTGTGAGCGACCCTAGCCCCGGCGAAGATCCTGAAATGCAGCAAGGCCGTGGACAGCTCAGGGCCACTGAGAGCATACAGAAGTCCGATGCCAAGAAACGGGACAATATTTTCAAGGTCATTCAGGTGGCCTCTGGGGAAAGAAGCAAAGTTGTTTTACAGTGTTACATTTTGTTGAATAAATCACTTCAAGCATCATTATTTTTCAGCATCTTCAGATCACGGTACTGTTAAGGCCCTAACACAACTGCTGGCTTCCTCTGCAGTGGGGACTCGATCCAGCTACTGAAACGATTTTGGCACATTCACCTGACATCGCTCTGGTCTCTCTTGCTGGACCCTACATTTTTAATCTTCTGATCTTCTGTATGAAAGGTCTTAGTTTTCCCCCAAGATCTTGGTAATATTAGGGACTTATATGAGGTATATGAGTGCACCTGGGTGTTCAAGCATGCAGGGAAAGTCAGGGAAGAAGACAGATAGCTGGAATTTTCTTGTAGCTTCTCTCAACTGAACATCAATTAACTGGATGACTGTGACTGCAACTACTAGGCTTCACGGCCCAGATGGTCTATTCCAATCCCATAAACTCAGTTTGTAGTCTCCATAAAGAAAATATGAAATATCCTACACATGAAACATTCTATCAAATTTTCATGAAGTTCAATCATCTTGAAGAATGTTATTTCTGAGCATCTAACAGGTGTGACAGTTACGCTTTTGGTTCATTTTCTTCACTACTAAGCACTAAAATAGCTGAAAAACGTTTCAAATTTTGAAACCATAATATAATTTACTAAAAATGTGTTGAGATTGAACTCCAGATCTTGAAGCATTCTTTCACACCTTTTCCTAAACCTTCCCTGCTCCCTTTACCTCCTTAGATAAATTATACTTCCAGCCAAATTAACTGATTGAAACAACCTCTAAGCCTTACTAATTATGTCAAATTTCACAGCCAACTAGAATCAGAACACGGTGCTGTTTCGCAGCTGCTTTCTGAACTCATTTATCATTACAAGGAAACATATCCTCCAGCTTTTTTTTTTCCAAAAAAAAAAAGTACACTGAAGAAAGTAATGTCTTTCTTTTCTATACCCACTTTTTTTTCCTCCAAAAAAAAGTACACTGAAGAAAGCAATGTCCTTCTTTTTTATACCCATAAACAGAACAAATTCCAGTCACTTCTACAGAAGAGAAGCCATGCTAAATCTATGTGGCATTATCTGTTGCCGTGAAGTTTGCAAAAGAAAACACAGTAAACTTCCATTAAGAGCCATTGTTGGGAGGAAAAAAAAAAACGGATGCTGCAACACCAATGGAATAACCAGAACCAAGCTGACTTACTACGTTTGGTGAAGTCTGAACAAGTCTGCAAAACAGCAACACAGGATTTGGTAATACGGTGTTATAAAAATCTAATCTGTGTAAATGACTGTGAGGTGGTTGTCATCTCTCTAATGAAACAATCTGAGTTAAAAGGGCATTTGGTCATAAAGTTAGTATGGACTTAGTTGTCCTCTTAGAATTCAGGAATAGAAAGGAACTACTCCTCGCCAAAAAGTGCCCATTTTTATGTAACAACCAGCAAATTAAACAATTAACAACTCCCCGAACCACTCAGTGGAAGAAAAAGGAAAGTTCAGAGCATCTTTACAGCCCACTGATGTTCAACTCTTCTTTCTGAGATTTTAATCCAGAAGAGACACACAGAAATACACTAGCCTTCATGGAACCACAGCCATCTCCATTTGCAAGGATGCACTGTTCTGAAATGAGAGCTGATACTTATTTTCAAGATCTTCCCTAACGGTGGTTTAAATGAGAACAGTTCATTCACATTAAAGTTTTTGGTATAAAAATACATACAGCAAATAAACTGTTAGCTTCAGTAAGGAACAATGATACGGAAAGTATTCCACTAAAGCTTTCCTTGGTTAGCACAGGTGTACCAAACAGCATCTCTGAAGTTCTGATTTTGGTAAGTGAAAAATGTTGCCATCAGCTAAATAAAACTAAATAAACTGCAACATTTAGCCCACTGAAATACAGCTTACATTCTGCCACAAATCTTGCAAAACAAAATACACACACCGCAGGCTGCACACTGCTACACTATTATAAACAGCATTCTTCCAGAAGGCTGGTCAACTTTCGCTACAATTGACACATCAGTGAGTAACCTCCATTCAATCCAGCAAACAGAGCACAAGCTTTGACTCCCACTCAGTACCGTTTGCCACATTAATGCCCTCACTACAGCTCTGGAGTTCCATAACTTTAACACAGTTTTGCTCCTCTTCCCCCTGTTACTTCCTTTACCCTCTAGGAAAAGATGCAACTATTGCAACTGGTGTTCAAATTATATAGAAAGCTGATACACACTTAGTGTACGCTGCTTCATACTGAATCAACTTACGGTCATATTTTAAATCTCACCACTTCCCCCACGCATACAGGATACTATCCAAGAGTTAGCTATTATAACCAGACAATGACTTCTTATTTTTAGTAGGCCTGCTGAGTATTTGAATGTGGAATGGTTTGTTCATTTAGACAAATTAATGTATTAGATTACTACATCAAGCAAAACACATGCAGGCTTGCCAAAGAGAGTGGAGGGTGAAATTAATTCCTTGATTTAGTATTATTCTGCTATTTAAAATAATTTTTAAAGACTCCTATGCATTACCTGCGTACACGTTCAACATCTGGATCGGACCGTAGATACTTTTTAGCACTCTCACCTTTACCAAATGACGCTGTATCTTCTGGGTTGGCAAACGCCTATTTCAAACACAAACACATGGAAGATATTAGAAGCCAGAATATTTCTTCTAGTCAAGACAGCCTGCTACAAAGTTCACTCTTTTTACTAATGCCTCTGTAACCTCACATAGCTTACCTGAAGTTAAATGCAGGGGAGTAATATATTGCTCACTGCATTACTGTTTTCTTGAGTCTAGCATGTATGTAGCGTGCGTGCTGACAAACCAATGTAATACAATTTATGCACATAGAGAAAGCCTTCTTGGTAGATGGACAAGCATGGCAGATGACTGATACTCAGCCCGAAGTAATGCCAGTGGGCTGAAGCAACATAAGGACCTGGAAGGCAGAACTACTGGCTGTGCTGCCTCTTTTCCACTCTTCTTGACAAATTATCTGAAAAGTCCTTTCAGATCCTTTCCTTCCTCAGAAGTCTACACAGCAATAGCATCCAAGAGACTCATCTCATGCACATTTATGACCAAGTACGTTTCTCCCTCTCCTCTTAGGCACAAATTTTTCCACTCATTATTATCTCCAAATACTGTAAGATACTATTTAAAAACAACATTTAAGTCTGTAAGTACAGACCGCAATAGATCTCTCCTCACTGACACGTGGTAACATGCATTCTGCGGACTGTTCAGGTTATGCAGGCTTAAGTCAAGAAAACCTTTTGATTTTAGGAGGGCTACATGATTGCTGAGGCAGCCTTAATCCCTTTTTGTGAAATATCCTTAGCTTAGAAATTCTGGAGACACGTTAATGCTATCAGCATCAGTAACACTTTACCTTCTCTCGCTCCACTAACTACATTCCTCCATTTTTTCTTAACATTTTAAAGACCTTTTTATATTACATAGGAAATAAAAATGAGTTTACTAGTTTGTCTGTTTGTAATATTACTGTCTTTCATAAGAAAACCAAGTACTCCAAATCAATGAGGGCCCTATTGTCACCTGCATACACATGGATCATAACATGGTAGGAGCATTAATACTGGACTCCACTGGATCTACGCCCAGGACCAGTACAGCTGGCGTGCTTCCACAAGAGCAAAAGGAAGTAAGGTTACGACACAGATGTCTGGGTCCTACTTTGAACATACATGACAGGCTGTGTGGTCTAATATACTCAATTTTCAGCTGCACCAAAGACCTAGAGAGCTATCAGAACCCAGCAGTAGCTCAAATGCTGTGCTATTTGGACTTCAGGAACAACAGAACAGTTCAGCTGGGTACTCTTGCAGAAACAAAAAGCAGCATTTCAACTAAAGGACTGCAACAAAGTCCCTGAAGCACACACCGTCTCGCAGAAGATCTCACAAGAATAGCCATATGGGGCAAACTCATGGCTCTTTCAGCCCAGGAGCAAGTGTTACCAACAGTGGCCATGAGCAGATGCCTAGAAATAACCAAGAACAGGGCAAACACAACACGATGCTTCCCATGAGCGCATTCTCCTAAGTTAGATGCAGCTTCTGCATCATTTCGTAAACCTCAGTGGATTTTTCATATACTTACCTAGCCTACACATCAATCCAGGTAAATTTTCAGCCTGACTCTCATTCTAGAAAATAATTAACTTTTTTTTTTTTAGATAATGACCTACCTGCAACGGGAAGGCAAAAACAATTAGGGAATGTAAAGAGTTTTAGAATTACTGGATAAAAAGGTTACAGATGCATAAAAATCCACTTCATATCCCCTCTTCTGACCCTACTAGTTGGTTACTCATGTAACATGGCTCCAGATCACATTTTATTTGCTTTATAAATTGGGTACCCTGGACACCAGCGTTCTGGAGAACACAGTGGAAATCACAGTTATTAAAAACTCTTGTTTAAATATAATAGAAAAGTTTTAGAAGGGTAGAGTAAGTCAAATGCAACTGTAAGATATAGGCTGATAATTTAATTAGGTTAAAGACATCGTCCATTTCAGACCAACAAAGCACCAGCAGGCCAAACTCGGAATATCATTAGAGGAAGGAGGAGGAAGAAAAAGAAGAGCACCAGTATTTGAAAGCTGAAAAGAAGAGAAACACCTGTGACATCTCTATATTTCAGCACAAATTTCAATCTACTCTACCAGACATTATTCCCCATTTCTTACCTTTCTTGTGATTCTGAAGTATGCTGTTACAAGACTCATTAGCATCATTTTTAGAAGGACAATAGTTGCATAAGTAGCATAAGCCCGGAAGACTTCATTGTCAATTAACTGGGTCAATTTAGCCATTTCTGCACTTCTCACTGATGACCTTTAAAAAACCATTAAAGTTAGGCTAACATCATAGCAATTCAAAGTTCTGACAACAAGATTGTCAGAATAGCCTTTTTTATTTTAGCATCACTGCAATGACAGCACAATTTTGCTACTGTGAAAAGTTTTTTTTCCACAAAATTTTCCTCAATTTGTTTTTACAATGGTATAATACTTCAAGATGAGAAATTATATTATCATTTAATATTTTGCTTCCATTATATCTGTTTATTAAACTGCCAAAATATAAAACATAAAAATGTTTACTGTAATTGCAGAATCAAGATTTAGTCACAGAAATCTGTACACGTTTGAACTAACACAAGGAGCTAAGACTGATTTTAGACCAATCCATTCGAACTAGTGAATTTCCCTAAGCAGTTAGCAGGATATAAAGCATGTGATGACATACTATACGCACCATAGTGTTTAGAAGAAAATTAGTATTGCCTACCTTTTTTTTTTGTAAAATGACACAATTATAATTGCACTTCAGCTTTCAAACTAACCAGTATCTTCCTACCCAGCAATAACTTGTGATCAAACTGAGTTAAACACGCATTTTTCTCCTTTGAGACCTTGTTCTTAAAAATTGCTTTTAGCATGATTCACAGGCAAAGATTAAGTTATAATGACAAAAAGCAGAGAACTATTTATGCTTTTATCATGGGACGTTCAAGCTAATGAACTCTCTTTCCAATGAGACCATACCAAACCCACAATCCTATGGAGGTGGTACCTTTTATCAACACCATAAAGTTAAGAATGTGATGAGGAAAGAACGCACGTAAAGCAAAAAGCATATACCCTTGCACATTCAATTTGTGCTCAGCATGGAACAAGGCTTTTGCCTCACCAAGTGCTTCAACCATGCACTTACGAGTAGGAATCCATAAAACTTGCATGTCTCAGCTTCACTTGAGACCAAAATAGATGTACTTTTTGTTATAGTTAACTTCATTATTTCTTATTATATCATTTTAACAATAGCAATACAGAAGTTAATACTAATATTTACTTGATTGCAGCTCTAACAATCTGTCATCTTGCTTTCAGCACAAAGTCACCACCAGCTACAGCCAAACAAGGGAAACCAGATGAGCCGAGCGCAGTAGAAGACTATTGCTCTGAAGGCACATCCTTGGTGGGGACGTGGGCAGGATGGAGGTAAGCAGCTGTTTGCTCAGTGAAACAAATCTAGCGTTGCCTGGGCTTGTTGGGCTTGGTGAGGGGATTTTGCTTCCTCTTTTATCCTCTCCAAAACAGTGCTTGGGTTACCAGCCCAAGCACTGGGTCCAGGGGTAACGAAAAGTTCAGTACAGCCTTCCTCCCTTCACTTCACAGCACAGCAGCAATGAAGCTAACCAACAATTCAGCAAAGATTTTTCTCAGCAGTTTCTACAGAACCTGCAGTTTCACACAACAAAAAGAAAGTAAAATGGTGCCCTCAGAGTGTTTTTCCTTACTGGATTTTAAAGTTGTGCTGAAAATACTTCCAAGAACTACGCAAAGTCATGAGAACTTAGAATCACAGAATGGTTTGGGTTGGAAGGGACCTTAAAGATCATCTGGTTCCAACCCCCCTGCCA